TGCTTCCTCTCCTTGCAGCCAGACAATTTCCCCACCTCTCGCTGCAGCCCAAGCGGTCGTGTGGATGAGAACGAGGAGCAAGGAGATGCCATGGCACGCCCACTCCTGGACAGTTTGCCTGTCAAGCACAGGAACCAGAATGAGCAGGAGCATCTGGTGATACTGGCAGTGAGAAAGTATATATAGGAACGCACCTGCGTGCCGAGGAGCAGCATGGCTTCGCAATACAGATCAGCTGACCTTGCACAACAGAGAGCTGGCAAAGGATGTTTTTTTTTACCTCTGCCTCCCACTTGGAGCAGGTCTGCTGTCTCCGCAAGACTGAGCCATCACAGAATACAGTGCGCTGCAACATGGGTTGCTCACAGTGGTGGGCCGTTGCTGGGCATAGCCATTTCTTCTCTCAAGGGACAGTGACGATCGCCCCTAAGGTCCTGTGGGAGTTCCCTAAGGGAGCAGGGAAACTCGAATGGATCTGGACGATGTTCTGGGTCTCTGCTCCTGAAAAAGACCCTGGCTCTCCCAGGCCACTGGTTGTCCGCCCATCGTCGTCATCTCTGCCAAATAGGTGGAGTTCAGCACTTGCTATTTGATGGTGACCATTGTCTTTTTTTTCTGCCTGGCCCGAACCTTGCGAACCAGAAGGGCTATGGTGGAAGCTAGGTATGGGGACATCTTTTGTAGGTAACGGACCTCCCGAGTCATTAAGTGCGTAATTGGTTCATGTCTTTCTTTGACCATGTTAATGTTGCATATATAGATAAGCACTCAACCCACTCAAGTGCTCAGTTGCAGGTTTTCCTGCAATTGCCTGGTTGGTCAGAGGGTATACCTGGTTGATGAGCAGCAGATAACCCAGGTCAGGGGTATCCTCTGGTTACCTGGCTGCCATGTGGGCAGGAGTTGCTTTGAGCATCCACTTGCTAGCAGTTTAGTTCCTGTCCTCTCTCTCGGCTCAGAGATTCAGCCCCTGAGATATCTTCCAAAACTGAATTCTACCCTTGGGCTAAAAGAAATTCCACACTCCTGCATTACTGGGAAAGCAGGGGGAGGCGAGGGTGGGCGTGGCAGGTCTGAGCATCGCAGGATCTTTCCTGGGTTTGTTTTTTCAATCTGAACGCGAGATCCTTGAACCTGAGCCTGGTGCGAAAAGACACACACTTAGAATCAAAGAATTGGAAGCCCAAGAATTTGGTCTGACCACCAGAATAGGGCAGAACTCACAATCTTTCCATAGAAAAATCAGTGTTTTCTACCTTTCAGCAATACATTTAGGGAAGGAATGGAGTTCCTCCTTCCTATGTTTTATTGCTGCCTCTTGATAAATTTTTGTAAGTCCTTCTTTCTGTTCCATAAATGCATAGCATCTTATATAAAACATAAAATTATGGTAAATAGAAACGCTTTGAGAGGAAACGCAAAGCAGAAGCAAAAGTATCCTCCCCCAGCCTCTCGCCCAGTGGAGTGTCATTAAACAAGCTTAAGGTGATCAGCAAGAGAGAGAATGCTCCCCATGGCATCCTATTTGGCCCTTTTCTCTAAGCTAAAAAAGGGCCCTTCCTTGGACAGATAGTGCTCAAAGCCTGGCTTATTCTGGGCAATGTTTCCTACAAGTTCTCAGCCTCAGCAGCATCCTGTTTTGTGACAAGGAAGGGCTGAACCAAAACTGTGGGTATTCTGCACATGTCCAGACTTTCACTGTTTACTATGCTGCTGTTGGTCCACCTATGGAGAAAGAGAAGGAGAGGGGAAGGAAGGACAACTGGAAAGGTTGGTATGTGCTTTGCGTTCTGTAGCCACCTGAATAATTCAAATATTTTCCACCTGTCTGGTTTTTTTAGGGGTGTGTGGAGTAGAAATAGTTCTGTACTTGCTTCAGGCAGGGCAATCCATCACTTGAAGCAACTGAATTTTATAAGTAGTTGGAGAATGTTCATTTTTGTGCCTGAACTTCCAAGACCCGTGGTATTTTCAGCAGCATGCCATTCGTCATTGCGCCGATCTGCTTGTGAGAAAGCAACAGTTATTGGGATGTTTTTCACAGTGTTTTAATGCAAGAGGTTTATTATTGCTTTAGGGTGCAGTTCCCTGAGCCTGCCCGTAATGGGGGAGTGCAGAGGTGAAGGTCATCTCTGTGTATTTTCCACTCCACAAAACAGCTAGTTGGCTGTTTTGGGTGTCTAACTGCATCCTTTGGGAGGGGGAAAGAAGGGGTCTGAGAGTGTTGTCAGGATACCTCATATCTTAGTACTACTTCCTCGCAGCACCCCTTAAGCCCCTACTCCGAGGTTGTTCTTTCAACCTCGGAGAACCAGCCAATGTAGTTGGTTGGTGGCACTTTGACCATGGATCCTCAGCTACAAGGATGCAGCTGCTTTCCGTCCTCAAAGCTGGGAATCCAAATGACCCTCTGCTCTTTGTACATGCCCATCAATTTCATTTCTGAATGTAATCTTCTGTGAGTGCCGTATTTTGGGGAAGGAACGCAGGGTATAAATCACATACCGAAATAACAACTTCAACTAATGCCAAATCTTCTTAAGTGAGTCTTGGGAGACAAACCATATTTGCCTTCAAGGCCCTCTTTATCAAGGTTCCTTTCTCTTCGCCACAATAGCCAATGCTTATGCTGTTCCATTTTTTTTAAGCACTCAAGATGAGAGCATCAAATTGAACGTGAGATCCATAAACCTGAGCCAGGTGCAAAAGACACACACTTAGAATGAAAGAATTGGAAACCCAGGAGTTTAATCTGACCCCCAGAATAGGACAGAATTCACAATCTTTCCATAGAAAAATCCATGTTTTCTTTGTTTAAACAATACATTTAGGGCAGGAAAGGATTATGTTTTATTGCTGTCCCTTGATAAATGTTTGGAAGGCCTCCTTGCTGTTCCATTCTCTTCTAGTAGCTAATGCTGTGCCTTTTTTTAAGCAGTTAAGAACATCTTAAAATATGTCTTTGCTGCTTGGAGAGCAGCCAGGTTTTACAAGGCCTTGTGAGGGTGTTTGTCTAGAAACCCAGCCAGTAATGCAATGTTGGCGTTTCTCGCTTTCTTCCCTGATTTATGAAGGTGGAAACTCTGTTGGTTCATACCGGAGATGAGCTAATCTGGGCAGATTATCCAGACATCTTTTAAGAGGATGAGTGTTGCGAATTGATAGATTAGGAAATCGGCATGCAGGAATGTTGTTCAACATAGAGCAGGAATTCTTGTAAAGCACTGCTTTTGCAAATGTGACAGGGGCGGTAAAGTCGGGCAGAAATAAAATTGCCAAGGGTCAGAGTAAATGGAATAGGCAGCGAATAAAAGCTGAAGACAGACCAGTTGATGTTAAACAGAGGGAGCAGCTCTCAGCAGGTGCGTGTAAACCCCTTCTGGTGTGTGTGTGACCATGTGAAAGAGGAGACTGTGAGCTTGGGGTGTCCTGAATTCAAATGTTGTCTTGAGTCATAAAATTCTCATGCCTGAGATTATGCTGCAACCGAATGCCGGCCAAGCAACTGCTTTTGCGTCCTCTTGTTCTAGACCCTCAGTGGTGACTGGGAGACTCTCCAGATGTTGGCTTTTGTTGTATTTTCTGGGTTGCCTCTGGGCCCAAATTGGACCTTTTTTGTGAAATGCAGTTAGAAATTGCAGCAATTTAAAAGCATGATTTGAAAACAAAACTTTACAAACATTAAGAAACCTCTCAGAAAAGGTGAAATTTTTAGCTTTGTGTTTTGGGGGAGAAAGCTTTAAAAGGGAGACAACAGCAAACACTGAAGGCAGTAGAGAATCTTTTGAAAAGATGTCCCTTTCATTTTTACTATGACCATTACTGTATTTTTCGCTCTATAAGACGCACTTCCCCCCCCTCAAAAGTAAGGGGAAATGTCTGTGCGTCTTATAGAGTGAATGTGTGTGTGCCCAACGCCTGGGACGCTGCCGGCCCGCCTGCACCACGTGGCACCACCTGGCCGCCCCCCCCCCAGCACAGGTGAGAGCTGTGCCGCTCGGGGAGCAGTGCGGAGGAGGAGGAGCTGCGGGCTTTAACCCGCCAGCCGCACAGAGAGACGGACTGCTCACTCCCACCGCCCGGGAAGACCTGCCACGGAGGAGGAGGAGCCGTGGGCTTTAACCCACCGGTCGCACGGAGAGATGGACTGCTCACCCCCACCGCCTGGGAAGACCTGCCGCCGCCGCACCACCCGGAAGACCACCCCCAGCACGCTGCCAGCCTGGCTGCACCATACCTGGCTGGCACGCGCTCGGCATGCCCTGCTCCGCCTGCCTCCTCCGGCGCAGGTGAGAGCTGTTAATCACAGGTCGGTGTGTGTTTTCAAATGGCAACCCGTCTTTTAATGAAGCCCATGGGGAAGTGATGGGGAATGTGCCTGTGATTATCGGGAAGCTTTCCATGGATCCCTCCTCTAAAAACTAGGTGCGTCTTATGGTCAGGTGCGTCTTATAGAGCGAAAAATACAGTATATCCCACTTGTCTTTCTCTTGAAAGGTGGCTTACATAATTCTTTCTGTTTTATCCTCACAACTTTTCCGGGAGGAAGGTTAGGCCAAGAGTCAGTGATTGGCCTGCAGTGAGAGTCTCATGGCCAAGGGGGACTTAAACCGAGGCTTCCACAGTCTCAGCGCGCAGCTGCACATTCACCCCATGCAACGTGGCTCTACATTTTAGCCATCAGGGGCTTCATAGCGCCGTCTTCATCATCGTCATGTCTGTGGCCTGAAGTGATTAGACTTCCTGGGCAAGTGGGGACCAGAACCCTGTCAGATGCTCTAACCACTGCACCACACTGCCTTACTAGCTGGATTTCTGCACCCTTCAGCTCCAGCCAGACCATTGACTTGCATAGCTCTGTTGACCAGCAGCAACCTTAGAGGGTCCTAAAACTTTTCTCGGGATGGAAAATGTCAGGGATTGCAGTCCAAACTGTGCGACTTGAAGTCCAAAACTTTTATTTCTTGATTATATTTCTGTCCCACCCTTCTGTCATGGTGGAACTCAAGGTGGTTCAGTGCAGTTTCCAGGGGGTCTCCTCGCCAAGCTCAGGCCAGCCCTGGACCTGCTTAGCTCCAAAGGGTGGATGTCTTATGTGCCTTCAGACTGTACTGTTTCCATTTTGCTTCATAATTTGGCCACAACCATAGCCTAGTCAATGCGTCTGTTCCTTAACAGTTTCCCTCTTGCTTGCGAATGTGACGGAGAAGTGGCACGCCCCTGTTCTTCCTTCTCACTGGGCATTAAGGTCTGAGGTCTCCACGGTGTTGCTTGGGTGTTGGTGTGACAATGGAGTGTAGAAAGATCGGCCTTTGGAGCTCTTTCTTCTTGCTCTGCAATACCGTTGGAACGATGGGTGAGTGTGGCACCCTGCAGTCTGAGGCACTGGGGTGGTGGATATAACTCCATATTAATTCATGAACTTGGTGAGGTTTGCAATCCTTAAATACCCCTAGCAACAACAACCTGTCTGTCAGGACTTGACGCCTTCAGACCTCTGCCAACACATTTTCACCTATTTAGACGCTGTGGGGAGGAAGAGCTGCGTGTTGGTTGAGAAATACCTGTGTGTGATTTCTCTAAAAGGCCCTGGCTTTCAGTTCTCCAGCATCTCCCAGCTTCAAACAGGTTTCCCTGATCTGGCAACTACTAGATATTTTGGGCTACAACTCCCATCAAACTCCCAGTGAACCCTGTTAATTGTCAGGGGCAACACCAGTGGGATATCGGAGGTAAAGCTCACAGGGACACAGGACTGGGGCTTTTTGCTTAGCTGGGACATTGGCCTCATCTGCCATTTCCCGCAGATTTTTCTATTCCCTCTGAGTTGGCTGTAATTCTCATAGCATCTGCGTTCAGACAACTCAGTACCCATGCTCAAGTAGTGAATTTGACATGCATTGTCTTTGAATCGTTGTCGAAATGTCAATTACTGAGCACAGCTGAAATAACAAACCATGGTGAACAACCCACACCTTACCACCTAACAACAGACCATGGATTCTTTTCAGGGGCTGTTCATGATTAACCAGATATGGCTCATTAATACACCTGGACTTAGACAACAATCTGGTTTTCTGTTATAATGCAACTGTATTTTGTGGTGGCTTAATCTGAAGCAGGCAATTAAGACCTATTTACTTTGCAAAATAGCTCCCAGATGAGGTGAAAACCGCTTGGACTAATTTGCTGATATGAATCAACACCAGTGCCGGAAGTTTTTGAATTTTGCTTAGGGACATGGCTGTGGTGGTCTCCCAAATTGACCCCTATACCACTGGCAGATTGGGTTCAGACAAGACAAAATAACTGTGGGTTGTTGTTGAAACATGGGTTATCACATGGTTCAAACCCAGCTGTGCTAACAAATCATGGCTTATTAGCCATGAACACCCCCAGAGAGAACCCGTGGCTTGTTGATGGGTTGTGAACTGTGGACTGTTCTCCAAAATTTGTTATCTTGTCTGTTTTCATGAACCCACATGCCAACAACAGCCCATAGCAAAAGCAAGTTACACTCCCCACATCCTAAACCCTTGAGCATGGGTTATCATGTTGTCCGAACACAGGCATCAATGGGAACTACAGTCTAGAACACCTGGAGGGCTGCTTTGCAATGCTTCTTCCTTGAACCCTTGGAGAGCCTTTGCTACCTGTTCAAGCACCATGAATTGCTGGCTTGGGGGCCTCTCATATTCTTCTCCCAGCAAGGCTGCAATGAAGCCAGTGTCTCCCTTCGGGTTCACCTTGTGCCTAGCTACCTGCTCACCTTTCCTCTGGTAATTCCCCTTCAAGCTCGAGGATCCAGCCTGCTGACTCGATCACCTATGGTGAATCATGGCTTTTGCTGGAAAATGACTTACACAGTTGGAAGAGTTCCTTGGCGCTCCCCCAATCCAGCTCCCCCATTCTGTGTAGGGTACAGAGACAGCATCCCTGCTGGGTGACTGACTGGCTTCTGTTTCCCTCCCTCCAGCAAAAGAGTGCCCACCACCTCTGCTCCCAGTGCAGCATCACCCTTGCTGTTAATATCATCCTAATATTTAGCCAGAATCTCTTTGGCAGGCGTTTCAGAGCCCACCCGCTGGAGCAAACAAACTTTGTGGCCAGTCCTCTCAGCATCTCAGTCACTCTTTGTGGTTTTTCCTCCTCCCCTCCTGAACTCTTTTCCTTTTGTGTCATGTCTTTTTGATCATAACCCCGAGGACAGGGCCTGTCTCATTCTCCATCTCTGTAAGCTACTCTGGGAGCCCATTTTTGGCTGATGAGTAGAATAAAAAAAATACTGCAAGTAAACAGTATGTATGGAGATGTCAGCCTTGCCTTTCAGTTCCCCCCTTTGGAGACTGAAACATTGAGACAGCCCTGCATGCTTCTGGTGAAAAACTGAGCCATGGAACTCAAGGGCCACTGGGGGTCCTCCCACAGCCCCCTGACCTCTTTTTTCTCTCCTCCAGGCAGCAAACCCTGCAACAAAAAGTACTTTGGCCAGGATGCCATTGTGTGTGTCTGCAATGGCACCTATTGTGACACACAGGACCCTGTCACCCTCCCTCCTGCTGGCCTCTTCGTCAAGTATGAGAGCAGCAAATCTGGCAGCCGGCTGGAGCGCACTGAAGGAAAGTTCGAGGAGAAAAAAGCCCCCCCAGGTACCCCCTTTTTTCCTTTGTGAGCGTGTAAGAAGTCCTAGGGCGATGGTGGCAAACCTCTGGCACGCATGCTGCAGTGGGCACGCAGAGCCTTCTCTGTCGGCACACAAGCCAGTCGCCCCAGCAGCCGAGCTCTGGATAACAGCACACACAGGGGCCATGCGCACGCTCGGAGAGGGGTTGTGGCGCCAGGCGATGACGTCACGAGCTGCAACGCATTAGCCGCAACTCGTCCGAGCTTTCGCATGGCCGGTCAGTGTGCTGCCAAGGGTGTGTGTGTGTGTGTGTGTGTGTGTGTGTGTAATTGCTTGGAGAGGTTGTGAGTTGTTTTTTCAAAACTAAAACCTCAGTTTTCGGGTTGTATTGCAGTGTTGGCACTTTGTGATAAATAAGTGGGTTTTGGGTTGCAGTTTGGGTACTTGGTCTCTAAAAGGTTCACCATCACTGTCCTGGGGTGACATGGGAGCCATAGTTGGAATACGTACCAGTTTCTAGCACTGACAACTTCTCTTCTTCCTCTCTTCTCGGCTCGGCTCGGCACGGCTCTTGCATCTCAGGTCTGGTCCTGGTGGTGGAGCCAGCTCAGAGGTATCAAATAATAAAAGGATTTGGTGGTGCCATCACCGACTCAGCTGCCATAAACATCCTGTCTCTCACACCAAACGCTCAGGAAAATCTACTGCGTTCCTACTTCTCGGACACAGGTGAGTGCCGGGAATTGTTGGTTGTGGGGTGAGGGGGAAGTGCAATAAGGAATCATGGCTTGGGAAAGCAGGCAAAGGGTTGGCCCCAGACTAAGTGAGTTGCACAAAGTCTGCTTGGCAGTCAGGACTCAATTCAGACACTGACTTGAAGGGAATCCGAGTCCCACTCATTTGCTTTGCTCTCTAATCTGTCGGTCTCAAAAACTGCTGCCGGCAGAGTCTGCAGCACTGGCCTTGAGAGACTGATGGTACATCTTGGTGAAAGGTGATGGTGTATATTCAGGCACCTTTTGAGTGCCCAGGTGAGCCTTGGCACTCATTGGCCAAGCTGCCAGACGGACAGGAACAGGTGTTTGACCCAGAGGAAGTTCTGGATCCAATCCCCAGTACTGCCTGCTAGAAGTCCTCCAATCCAGGTTTTGGAGACCCCACCAAGGGGCCTCTCTCCCCATCAACTGAGCTCCTCTCGTAACCTTGTCATCAGCTGCCCTTGCTCTGACTCCTCTTCCTGGTTCCCCTTGCTACCCTGATAGGTGGAAAGCTGGTCCATGAGGACAGCGGCAAGTCCTGATCATCCTCCTTACCCTCACTGTTGTCTGGGCCAGAGCAAGGGGCAGGTGAATGCCCAGGCAGCAAGGGGGAGACGGGGAGCAACTCCAGGGGCCCTTCTCTGCAGGCCCCATGTTGTGGTGCAGGCCTGTAGCGAGTGCCCGGCCATGCCCACCCTACCACCGTCCTGCATTACGAAGGATGCGCGGATCGATTGCACCCTCCGACTGTCTTCCTTCTCCCCCGCCTCTGCAGGAATCGAGTACAACCTTTTGCGGCTGCCCATGGCCAGCTGCGATTTTTCCGTGCGGACTTACACATATGACGACTGGCCAAATGATTTTGAGCTGAGGCACTTCAGCTTGGTCGATGAGGACGTCAAGATGAAAGTGAGTGTGGGGTGAGGAAACACGGGGGAAGAGAGTGACCATTCCTCCCCTGTCGGGTGGTCTATTAGCATGCAAGGGGGACCGGCGGGAACACGACTTAGCGATGGAACTGTTACATCTCCCTTCCGAGATCTGCCGAGAGCCTCTGCGGAAATCTTTGTAAGAAAGGCAGTGAGAGCTTAGAGATGACAAGAGGCATCCACAGTGTATTGTTGTGTGGAACATTCAGTGTGCCAGCCAGCCACAGTCTTTTGGGGGATGCTCCATTCCATTTCCCTCCCTCTTCCCAATTTGTCCACTTTTTCCCCAGCAGACCCTTGGCACAAAAGGTTGCCTCCTACTCAAACTTGCCTTCTATTCCATGTCCCGGTCAGCCGTTCCTTTTCCAGAGTTCTCCGTTCTGTTACGGAATTCAGCCTTTGGGCTGAAAGAGGTTCTGCTTCGTGATGAACAGCATATGCATGTACGCGGAGTGTTATTTTCCCCTCAATAATGGCAAATCATTTTATTTTTATTTTATTTATTTATTAAAACATTTCTATGCCGCCCCTTGCCAAGGCCTCGGGGCGGCTTACAACATCGAATACAAAATACATTAAAACAATGACAATTAAAATATATACAGTAAAATAAAATAAGCCACCCTGGCCGAATAAAATTCAATAATATTAACATTTAAAATGCTGCATAAATAAAAAGGTCTTCGCCTGGCGCCGAAAAACAAATAACGACGGCGCCAGGCGGACCTCTCTGGGGAGCGCATTCCATAACTTAGGCGCCACCGCTGAGAAAGCCCTCCTCCGAGTAGCCACCCTCCTAATTTCCTTCACTGAGGGCTCCCGGAGGAGGGCCTCTCCTGCTGATCTCAAGGGGCGGCTGGGCATATATGGACGTAAGCGCTCCTTCAGGTAACCAGGACCCAAGCCGTTTAGGGCTTTATAGGTCATCACCAACACCTTGAATTGGGCCCGGACTTCAATGGGAAGCCAGTGAAGCTGACGGAGAACTGGAGTCATGTGAGCATAACGTCCAGTTCCCGTCAGCAGCCTGGCAGCTCTATTTTGAACCAATTGAAGTATCCGGACTGTCTTCAAGGGCAGCCCCATGTAGAGTGCGTTACAGAAGTCAAGACGGGAAGTCACCAGTGCATGAGTCACTGTTCCGAGGCTGTCGTACTCCTCTGAAAAGGAGTGTCGGGATTTAAGTAGGGCAACTGGTGCCCTCCAGAAGTTTTGGACTGCAATTCCTATCAGTCCCATGGCCAGTGGCCTGGGATTGTGGGAGTCATTGTGCAAAATATGGCCTGGATCTTCTTGGCCTCCCTTTTGGTCCAGACCTTCCTCACCGGCTTTCTGTTCTCTCTTGCCGTAGATCCCTCTCGTGCATCGCGCCAAGGCCCTGTCTAAGAAGCCCATCTCCTTGTTTGCCAGCCCGTGGACCTCTCCGATTTGGATGAAAACCAACGAGGACTGGAAAGGGAAGGGGTCCCTGAAGGGGCAGGCGGGAGACAAGTACCACAAGATGTGGGCCAACTATTTCGTCAGGTAAAGTGAGCAGCAGGGTGGGGCGAGCAAGGGAGGTGAGGCTTCCTGCTTTGAGCAACAGGATGCCAGGAGATGGCTGCTAGGCCAGCGTAGAGGAATTGACCTGTGCTCAGGTCATTCTCTCGGGAATTTGGGAGAGCCCTTTGCAGCGGGGGTGGAAAACCTGTGGTACTAGGGCTGTATGCGGCCCTCAGACTGCTTTTGAAAGCCCTCCCCATGCACAAGGCAATGCAGCCCTCAGAGAAGGTCGCCTGCTCCCACTCTCCAGCTACGGAAAGGAGTTCCCATGTCCAGCACAGAATGTCTGAATTGACCAGGTCTGGTACACAGGCCAGGGCCAGGCCTGTCTGTACCCGGCAGGTCTGCGTAGCAGGACGGGCTGCGCCTCAGCCTCACATCTCAAGCCACACCTCCTTTTGGTTCTTGTCCAAACTGGAGAGGTCCAGGGGTCAAGGTGGGAGATGGTTTTCTCGGGGATGCCTTGGCACAGTGAAGGAGACATGGAGCACCTCCAGGCCTCGGCGGGGGCCTTCAGGAAGGCATCTGTGATTCCCCCCCCCCCCATCTTGCCCATCATGGCTACAGCTCGCTTGCCTGACCAGCAAGGAGCCTGGAGCAAGCAGCATCTCCTGCCCTTCCATCTCCCCACCACAGTTGGGCCAGAGCAGAGGTGGCGGATTGAGCAGGTTGAAGGGGGTAAAGAGAAGATGCAATTCCACAGGGCTGGGAATTGATGGGTCCCTGCTAGGATGAGGGTCAGTGGCCTCTGTCTGGCTGGGCCTCCCTTGGCCCAGGCCCTGGCCCTGGAGGCCTGGAAAGGCTTGTCAGGTCTCTGAAGGGCTGCTGGGATGCGGCACCTGACAGGTAACCCCTGAGGCACTGCAGCCCTCAGCCAGGAGGGAAAAGGTTTCTCACTCCTGTTCTACCGGTACAGAAGGGAATTGTCATGTGCTGCATCAATGCAGCTGCTCGGCGTCTGGGATTTGGCAACCCTGGCTCCGAACCGTCTCCCTTGATTGATTTATTCGTCAAAAGCTTTTCTGTCCCGTCTCCTACAGAACATCTTGGGAAGCGTTACAATAAATAAATAGAATAGAGCAGGCCCACAGCATCCGACCATGATATACTTAAACCCCAATTAAAAGCAATTAAACATTAAAATAACGGGAAAATAAAAAGGGTTTTGCATCTTCTCCCCTTCTCCAGGTTTCTGGATGAATACGCCAAGCACAACTTGACCTTCTGGGCTGTGACAGCCCAGAATGAGCCAAGCGCCGGGCTGATCAGCCGCTACCCTTTCCAGTGCCTCGGGTTCACAGCTGAGCAGCAGCGTGACTTCATAGCGCTGGATCTGGGTCCTGCCCTGGCAAACAGTTCACACAAGAACATCCGACTCATCATCTTGGATGACAACCGGGTACTTCTGCCCCACTGGGCCAAAGTGGTGAGTACCGCAGGCTCCCAGGATGCGGGTGCCAGGCAGCCTTCTGAAATGGGTTGCCCTGTGGGTGCCTTTGAGTCTTGCACCAGATGGGCAACATAAGGTGTGGCGTTTTCCAGGTTAAGCATGTGGGCAGAGTTGTGTGTTGTGTCGTATCCCAGCTGCACCTAGCCTGGCTTGCTGACAAGCATCTACCCACAGGAAGCTCCCAAGCAGAGCAGAAGTGCAGCAGCTACCCATGTTCCCCAGCATCTGGTGTACAAAGGCATCCCGCCTCTGATGGTGGAATCTGCGCATGGCCATGAGGACTAGTAGCCCTGGATAGCTGTCTCCTGCAGGAATTTGCCCAGCCCCCTCCATCCAAAGTGGTGGCCATCACTCCATTCACTGGCTTCCATAATTTAACCACGGAAGTCCTTCCTTTTATCTGTCCTGAACCCGCAATCAACCTCATGGGATGATTCCTAGGATTCGGCAAGGGGCGGCATAGAAATGTTATAATAACAACAACAACAGCAACAACAACGAAGATGCCTTGTGCTCAGCAGGGCTCATTTTGTTCACCTTCGGTATCTCCCCCTCACTGACCATTTTCCTAAGCCAAACCACCTCATATGCAAAGGCTGATCTTTTCTTTGTGCAGGAGGCCCTGAATCATTTGAGTCAGCCTCTTCTGCCCCTTATTGCAAATTGCATGAAGAGCATGACCTCCCCATGAGCTGTTCTGGGTTGACACAGAGGCGCGAGGGCATCGGCCATCAGTGATACTATTTTCTTATTCTTCATCCGAAGACACTAAAGCAGATGCCTTACAGTGCCCAAAGAGCCTTAAAATAGCTGTAAAATTGGGAAGTGTGATAGGTACTTGAGGCCGAGGAAGAGCTGCTCAGAAGGGTTTATTTGGGAGACCCACAAGCATGAACAGCACGTGGTTGGGAATACGCTTTTTTCCCAAGCATTCCCACACTGAGAATTGTCCTGATTATTATCATGCTGGTATTTTAATAGTGGAAAAGGACAAAGGAGCCTTTTTAGAGCCCCAGTGTTTAAAAATCTATTTACCCATATCTAGGTTTTGAACATCTTCCTGGGTGAATTTAAATATGTTCTGTTTAATGGGTGATCAAAGGTCACCAGCTTACCAAAGTCCTGTTTTGAGAGAACCTCTGAGCCAACGCTGCCTGTAGTCCCTGACCATGTTGGCAGGGGGCTGATAGGGGTTGGAGTCTTTGTGCAGAGAATTTGTGCAGCACCACTCTCTGCGGATCTCCCCAGATTACTCAGAAGCAAGACCCACTGCTTTTATGGTGCAGTTTGCACAGGTTGACCCAAGCACAGGTTGATCGCCTCCGCAGGTTGATCGCTTGTAGGACGGGTGTGTTAAACCTCTTCCAGTGTGAGGACCAAACTTCCTTCAGAAGTTCTCAATGGCTGCATGGCAGTGGAGTTGCAAGAGTCCCTCCTCCACCAAATCCGTATTTTAGATGCAGACTCTCATTGCCTGTCACCAAACCTTGGAAAAGGTGTGCCACCAAGAATCTGTTGTTGGGACAAAGAGGGTGGTGTCGGGAAGGAGGCACGTCCTTCTGGGGAGCTCATTAGGGACAGATCCTCACAGACCTCTGCATGGAGATTTGTTCGTTTGTCTGTTTAAAACTTTTGTATGCCATCACCACATGCCTTGGCATCTCAGGATGGCTCGCATTGCATACAATTAAAATACAATAAAATGATTTTTATAAATAACAAATTCAATAAAAGATTACGTAAAGACAAACAACAGAGACAGCGACGTTTCAACGATAAAATACTAGTTTTTAAAACAGCAATTAAATAAAAAGGTTTTAACCTGGCACCAAGAAGGATATAAACTCAACACCAGGTGCACCTGTCCAGGGAGCGCATCCCATAATCTGGGCGCCACCGCAGAGAAGGCCCTGCTCCGGGTAGATGTTCTTTTGATCTTCTTTAAAGAGGGTTTCCGGAGCAGAGCCTCTCCCGCAGATCTTAAGGGGCGTGAGGGCATGTAAGGGAGATGAGCAAGCAGGGGCAGGAGCAGAGCCAAGAGGCTCCCAGGGGGAGAAGTGGGGGCCCTGCTGGAAATGTGGATGTCAGCTGGTGTTCAGCAATCTCTGCCTTTGACACTTGCCTTGTGCAGAGGAGCAGCAGCAGCTGCTGAGCACAATTAAAAGACATTAGGCCAAGAAAGAGGGTGGTAGGAATGGAGCAGCCATGAGGGCAGTGACTTGAAGGGTTCACAGCTTAGGGCTGTACCACATGAGTAGAATAGCATCGTGTCCGTCACACAGCCTCCCTTGAGGGGGAAAAGGTCAAAGCTACGAAAGTCAGGCGCTTGGGGAAAGGTCTCATTTCCTCTCACTATGTCTGCCTCCTCGTTGTGATTCCATGCTGGTCTTCTCTGCCTCAGCTCTTGCCAACCTCTGTTGAGCTGTCTCTGATGCTCTCCTCCTTCCTTCGTCCGTCCAGGTGCTGAGTGGAGAAAGCCAAGCTCATCGTTACGTTCACGGCATCGGCTTGCACTGGTACCTGGACTTCATTGCCCCCATTGACAACACAGTGGAAACCACCCACCAGTTTTTCCCAGACTACTTCTTGCTTTTCACTGAGGCCTGTGCCGGATCCCACTTTTGGGAGAAGGACGTGATCCTCGGCTCCTGGGATCGGGGGAATGACTACAGCCACAGCATTTTGGAGGTACGTTCTGTGGAAAAGGCTCTGGAAGTTCTGAACTTCATACCTGCCCTCCCCTCACACACCTCTGTCTCTTAACCCTAATCCCAAAAACCAGACTCTCGAGACCTGGTTTCTCCCTCAGTTGTCCTGTCCTCGGTTTTCCCTCCTTAATTGACATTTCACTTGTTGGTTTGCTTCAGCCATTTCCTCTGTCCTGCTCCTCTTCAGAAAAAATCTTTGCTCCCACAGGAACAACTTAACTCTCTTTTTCCTCCCCCTTCTTTTTGTTTCTCCTGTCTTTGGCTCTTCAGTCTCTATTTTCCCTCTTTTTCTTCTTCCGAATCAGAATCTCTTCGCATATCCTCTTGAGGCCCAATCCCAACATGCATGGTGCACTTTATTATTTTTATATATTATATTTTTGAATATATTTCTGTGCTTCTACAACAAAACAGCAAAACCAGTCTAATCACTAAACCAGTAACGGCAAGGTCACCCTCACCATATCAAGTTACAAAAACATTGGTCCAGGAACACAATCCAACAAGGCCATAATCACTGTAATCAGGAGAAAAATACAGGCACTGTAATGATATAAAATGCAATATTACAACTAAAGTTTAATCATTTAAAAATCTGGAGAATAACCTGGAACTGGGTAGAGAAAAAGGTAGGGACCAGGTATACCTCTTTGAGGAACTGATTCCATAAATGGCGAGTCACGACTGAAAAGGCCTTTTTTCTGGACATCACCCCCTTCCTTCTTTTGGAGGGGCTCCCTGAGGACCCCAAAAGATGATCTAAAGGCTGGGTAGGCACATAGGGCAGGAGGTGTTTGAAAAGGATAAAAACCCGCAATGCAGAGACCTAAAGGGCACGGATCTAATTTTTCCGGCTGGCTTTGTTGAAGCCTTCATCCAGCTCCAAAAGGACCCTCACAATGTAGCAAGTCTCTTTGGGGAGGCTGTTTCACCACTGTGGTGCCTCCGCTGAGAAGATTACCTGAGAAGATAGTAGGTAGCAATAGGCCCTTCTTCAGTGGGGGCACCTGGAGAAGGTCCCCTGAGGATTATTTTTGACTCCAGGCAAGTATATACAGAAGGCAACAGAACTCTGCAAATCGTTTCACCGTTGCTTCCCCTATAGAACCTCAATCACCATGTGTCAGGCTGGACAGACTGGAACCTGGCCCTCAATTTGGAAGGGGGCCCCAACTGGGTCAAGAACTTTGTGGACAGCCCGATCATCGTGGACGCCGCCAGGGACGTCTTCTATAAACAGCCCATGTTCTACCACATGGCGCACTTCAGGTGAGGCTTAACATCCTCCGGCTTCTGTTACGCTGAGCAGGAGGGACCAGCATGCTTTTCACCTGGTGATAACCCAGCGTATGTGTTGAGTATGGGTTGCCGTTGGATCACGGGTTGTTCTATGCAAACTCTGCTAGAACTGTAGGTGGTTCATTGGAAGCTACTCCAAGAGTTCCCAGCACATCAGCAAACTGGGGGTTGTTTCCTGGGTTGCTCATGGTCATAGAATCATAGAATAGTAGAGTTGGAAGGAGCCATGAGGGCCACTGGGACCAGCCCCCTGCTGTTTCAGGACACCAGGTTACACCATCCCACTCAGATGGCTGCCCAGTTTCGCCTTGAATGTCTCCAGTGTGATTGACCCCAATCAACCCCCCTTAGTTAAACCATAACGAAGTATTCCACTCCTCTCTGAATTTGTCTAATGAACTGTGCTGGTGGCTGGCTGCAGGTTCCCGAAACGAATTGCCTGCCATGCAATGAAGCTGTTTTTGGTCCTCTTTAAAATTGCATTGATTCCCTGTCTTTCTTCCTCTTGCAAGGAACCCAAGTTTCTTCTCCTCTTCATCTTTTCTTGGCAACAACATTCTTGCTGGGTTGTGAGGGGGGTTGGGCTGAAACACTGTGATTGGCTCACAGTCACCCAGCGAGCTTCTTGGCTGAATGGGGACCAGAACCTGGATCTCCCTGGCCAGTGATGCTCTGCTGGGCCACCTTGAGAACAAGGGCCCAGGACAAGCCTGCCCCTGGCAGCTTTTGGCCCTGCTCAAACCGCTCAAAGGGGGGCTCAGCCTACCTATTGCTGAGTTCCTGGCCCCCTCTGACCTTCTTTTCTCTCACCCCACCTGCAGCAAGTTCATCCCAGAAGGCTCCCAGCGTATCGGGCTGAGACTCTTGAAGAAATGCATCAGATGCAACCTGGAACATGTGGCTGTGCTACGCCCTGATGGATCTGCCGCCCTCATTGTCCTGAACCGGTGAGTGTTGGGTCAAGGTGTACCTACCTGGAGGGAAGTACCTGAGAAGGGCAAGGGCCAGGTAGGCTGCATGTCAGTGGGGTCCAAAGGAGAACCAGCTGTTCTTCTCCGACACCCTGTGACAAGTGCCCAGGTGATCGAAGTTGGCAGGTTTGTGGTTTGCTCTGTATAGCACTAAGTAAGGGGCAAACTGAAGGTGACTGACACCTTTCACACAATCTCTGGTGGACAGGGATTTATTTATTTATAATTATTATTTTATTTGCATTTATATACCATCCTAGTAGCCCAGAGAGCTTTCTGGGTGGTTTACAAACATTAAAACCTACCAATCCTAAACAAATATATAAACTGACTATACCACAAAAGTATAAAATAACATAGTTAAAATGAATTAAATAAATAAATATAGCAATAAAATTAACTAACTTTAAAATATTGGTTAAATAAAAAGGTCTTGACCTGGCGCCGATTTGGAAGTGTGATGACTACGGATATGAATGCCTGGGAAAAGTCCCCATGGACCAATAAAATAATAAGAATAAAAATTATATGTTTGCTGTTACCCTAACTCCCCCCCCCCAAAATTTGTCCCTAAGGAAAAAACAAGTCTTTTTTCTGCCCCAACCCTTCGTAGCTCTTCCACATTCTAAACATGGACCCTTTTAGATTTCTGGGGCAGTCCTTCTAGCTTCATTTAATTCTTATATTTCTATTCTGCCTTTCTTCATGCAAAGAAGCCCAAAATGGCTCATGTATGCTTCATTTTATCCTTGCAACAACCCTGTGAGGTGGAGCAAGCCAAGTCACCCAGCGAGATTCATGGCCAATAGGGACTAGAACCCACCTCTCCCAAGTCCAAGTCGAGTACTCAAGCCCTGCTACATTGCATTGCTCGGAAGGGAAAGAAAAGTCTGTCAACATTTGATTTTGCTGTGTGAAGGGTCTTCGGTGCCACTCCCATCCCCTCTCAAATTCATTTTTCTCTTCTTATCTGCTGCCATTCTGCTTAGGTCTGCATCCAACGTCTCCTTCGGGATTTCTGACACACCTGGCCTTATTATGACCCATATCCCTGCCAACTCCATCCAGACTTACCTGTGGCAACGCCAGTGAGGACATGGCCTGGGTGGAAATCCCACCAGGGCTCACCTTTTGCTGCCATTCCTGGTAACGGTGGCCTTGTTCCATGTGAAACTGGCCTACCTCTTCTACACTCTGTTCCAAAGCCAAAGGCAAGTCTAGGCCAGGCCTCAGTTTCGGCCCTGAGCAAACTCTGCTGTCAAGATGCTAAAGAAACAAATGGAAATGTGTCCTCATTGGATGTGAGAGCAATGGGCTTATGCTTACGGCACCCACACTGGCAAAATGAAGGAGACCCCCTGCATGGGTCCAGGAGGGAAGCGAAGCCCTCTCTTTTTACGCTGGCGGGGACTGTACACTTGGTGTTTTTTTCTCACTGGAAATTAAAGGGAATCGCACTCTGCCCTGCCACTTGTCTCGAGTCTTTCTTGTTTTCCTTCACAAGAGCTGTAAGAACTCTTTCACAAGGGTCCCTAATCATTAGGATCAATTCTGTTTTCAAAACAAACTAACATTAATATTGCACATTGTATTTCTTGAAGGCTTTTTGTTGTATGGATAAGCTCATCCTATAAGGAAGGGTGCGGATGTTCCCTCCTACTGGCCATGCTGAAATCATGCACGAGGGGGATTTTTTTTGTCTGTAGGGGATTATTTCCCCTCCAAAAGGAAGTCAAAATCAGCTAAAACTACTGTCTAGAATATAGCAGTATCAAAGAAAACATCAGAAGACAACAATAGGAACAGTTAGCTGATAAAATACTACAATGGACCTACCAATAAACATTCAATTCAGTGCTTAAATATTCAGCCTGTTAATGAATATAGCCTTCCCAAATATTAACTTTACTTAGTTAGGTTTATATGCCGATATTCTTTCTGCAAGAAATCCAGTTCTCATCTACCTCCTCTCAGTTTTATCCTTACAACAGCCCTGTGGGGTAGGCTAGGCTAAGGTTGCCCAAAATCGCCCAGTGAGCTTCATGGCTGAGTGGGAGATTAGAACCCAAATCTCCGAAGCCCCAGTCAAGCACTCCAACCGCTAACCAAGCTGGCTTTCAACATCGGGATGACATACAACTTAGAGTCAAAAACATACCCCACTCCTCAGCCAATATAGAACGAATGTGCTGCTTTCACTACTGTGCCTTTTTGAAACCTTGGAAAAGCAGAATAGTAATTATTTAAATAAATGATAGATAAAATCATATATAAATTAACGTTGGGGTCATGCATCCCACCGTTCCCTTGTTCAAGTACTGTGTGAAGGAACATTGCTTCTACTGATGAACGTATCTAGAGCTTTTCCACATTGTGCCC